GACCTCACGTCGCTGAGATTCTGCTCGTGTTTCTGAGCTCCCTGGGCCCAGAGTCACATACGAGCCTCGTCCCGCGAACGCCATCCTCGTTCCTGACGCGCGAGCCCGCGCTCGGCGTTTGCTCCCGGCCGTCTCTGTATAGAAGCCTCTTCCGTTGTTCATCACGTCCGTGTCAAGGTGAGGGGCGGGCATTCATCTTTATCAACGCACCACAGAACGGGGACAGTAGGGGTATTGTCTCTCTTTTAGGGCAAATAACAGGAAGATACAAACATATCCCTCGGGCCGAGGAATTTTCTCCCAGTGGCTCCATGTGGGACCTGGATCAGAGAGAACAGCCCAGATTTCACGCAGTTCTCTGGGCAGCCGGGAGCCCTCGGGGCTCAGGCAGAAAGAGCCATTGAATGGGAAGCGTCTCGTGTGGGGCAGAGCCCCGGCCTCTCCACCTGCCCACCCTGCTCGGGAGCTCAGAGCGCATCTCCTGGCAGCCTGGCCTCGGTGACCCACAGCAGGCCTGTGGACTGGGACATCCACTTTGCCGTCCCGCTGCACACCTTACTGTCCTCGTGTCCTGCCTTTACAGCCGGCACAGCGCCCTGGCTGCGGCCGGGCCGAAGGCTGGTCTCCGCAGCCGTGGGTGAGCCCACCTGCTCCTTGCTGCCTGTCTGTCCCCCCCTCAGACGTGGCATGGCTTTGGCTCCAGGCCCTGCCGCAGGGGACCTGACCCGCCCCTCGCCTGAGCCCCTCCCTGCACGGGCACCCCAAGGCTCTTCCAGGCACCCCATCTCTTGGGCTGCTTTCTGAAACAACGCGTCCCCTCCAGATGGAACGTCGCCCACGGAGGTTCGCGCTTGAGTCCAGCCTCAGGCCGGGCACCGTGCCTCTCGCTGCGTCTAGATGCTCTTCCACAGTCACCCTGAAAATATCCTGTTGAGTGGCCAAGTTGTTTTCTATTTTGTCCCCCTTTCCGTGACGTCATCAGGATCCTATCATTTTAGAGCAGGAGGGAGCTCTGTCCTGTTTACTGGGTGCCCCGCGCGCCCGTCCTCGGGTGTGACACGGAGACACTGTCATGTGGACCGTGGACCACCGCGAGGTCCGCACGTGGCAGGAGTGACGCGCCTGGAGGACAGGGGCCCTGATGAGCGGGGCTGGTGTTTTTCTTTATTCGTAGCTAGAAACAAAAAGTCGAGAGTTGAAACTTGCCCGAGGTGAGAAAAGCTAGGCTGGGTTAGGACCCGGGTCTCCTGACGACATCCTGCTACGTGGTCAGGGGCTTCTGAGACACAGACAGACAGACAGACAAGAGACCATCTAGAAGCATACAACACGCCATCCAATGCCAGGATGGCAAGGCCGGCAAGAGACAGGACAGGGAGTGAGCGAGGGACCATGTGAAGGAACCGCTCAGGTGGAGGCGAGGTCAAGGGTCACCTTAGCGTCGTGTTCTGGGGGTGGGGGAGGGCGGAGGTGGAGCCTTTGATGGAGAGCAGACCTGAGCCAGCCCAGGAAGGGGAAGGGAGGGGAGGACCTTCAGGGAGACCGGTTCCCATTTCGTTCCCAAATCCCAGCTCACAAAGATGTGCCTTTGAACAAAATCTGAGTTTCATCCCAGGATTTTTAATTCCAGCGGCAGATAATCTGAGAAGAGATGAAACATCATAAGAATAAAGGATAAAGAAAGCACAACCGTAATCGTGTCCTGTTCCTAAAAGTGTACAAATCCTCTTTGATTCAGGCTTGCCAGGTGAAAGGTGATCTGAATTAATGCGGAGTCTTAATCTCTCACACACACGACTCCCCGAAATACGCAGGGACAAGTTAAGGGACCGAACGCTGGCTGGTGGGGTCGTGAGGGGAGCTCCCTGACGGACGTCGGGGGCCCCCGGGACACCAAGTGTTAACCACAGGGCAGCGGCCGCCCCGGTGTCCCGGCGCCTGGGTGTGCTGGTCAGGTGGTTTCTGCGCCTCCCGCCGTCTCAGCTGTAGGCACACCGTCTCACACTCTGAAAAAGAAACCTGGTCAGCGCAGTCCTACGCAGAAATTCAGTGTGTACGCAGACAGGGCCCGGGTCTCAGACATACGTACGTTCATCTGTTTTTAACGCAGTTACTTGTTTGTTCTTTGGGGAGGGTTGGTATCTCTTCTTCACTAGGAGTGGTATTCGAATGGCCGTGCTCACTCACCCTGGGCCACACCTCCCTCTTGACGTTTTTAAAGTATTGTGTTTGATCATGTTCTTATGGGTGGTCTGTGTCTGCCTGTGCAGTCTTTGTGCTGGATGGTAAAGTTCGGATTGTCTGTGCAAGATATCTTTCCTTAGTTCCCTGCTTTAGTTTGGGAATGTGCGTGCGATAATGACATTGGTCAGTTGCTTTCGTACGGGGCACAGACAGACTTTCCTCCGGTGGCCAGGGGGACACAGAGGCCCCCAGTCCCCCGTGAGGCGTGCTGCGGCCTCTGTGGATGAACCACATGCCCACGCAGACCACGCCGCCCTCGGACAGAGGCTGCCTCCAGGCCGTCTGATCTCCCCCTGTGCCCCTCGAAATCTGCCGAACACAGGCGTCGCTTTTCACCTGCAAATCCTGACAACGTAAAAATAACAATACAACACCTAAAAGCCGGCGTAGATGTACTGAGGTTAGAGCTGGTGTAAAAACATGGATTTATATCACTCTCGTAGCAGTGAGTGAGTTTCAGAAGAGAGCTGGGGCTTGATGCATCAAGTAACGGAGAGAGAAATGGACCTAAAGCGTAAAGGCCCAGGCCAGGGAAGAACACAAGCAATAATGTAGCTAATCAGGACAGATGGTGTGACGGACAAGGGGGAGGTGAGCGGAACGGGAGTCTCGTGCTTCCACCACGGTCATGGTGAGGGGCCAACGGGTGCTGTCGGAAGTCGGAGGACCGAGTTCATCGCATCACCTGGGACTAGCAGGGGTGAGGACCAGAAGGGCCGGGGATTGGAAGGGAAACCGACTCTGACAAAGCAGATGCCCACCGCAGAGGTGTTAGTGGTGACGCAGAAATGAGCGGGCTACAGGGAGCGGCACGTTCTCCCGGAGCCGGGAGCACAGAGGGACACAAGCTCCCGCACCTTGTGGCTGCCGGGGCACCGTCGTCCCTGGGAGACATGCTCTTCTCGTGGGGCAGGATGCCAAGGGCCCCACTCCCTTTGCTGGGAGCCTGGGGTGGATGCTTTCGCTTCTCGGGACAGTGTGACTCCGTGGAGAGTGAAGGCTTTGGAGCCGGACAGACGCAGGGCTCAGGCCAGCTCTGCTGGTGACTTTCTGTGTGACCTCAGGCTGACTACTTACCTCTCTGAGCTCTGCTGCTCCCTGGCAGGACCACTGGAGGCTCAGGAGGTGCGGACCATCAGGCGTGCAGTAGGAGGGCACTGCTGCGGTGGCCACGCTGACCACATTGCCCTCATTTTCAGGACGCTAGGTGTCTGGGAGTCTCAGAGTTTGGGCTTGGGCTCCCGATGCACCCGAACTCCAGGCACCCCCTCCTCCAGGACCGGGCAGGGCCGAGGGAGGTGCTAGGGGAGGTCCAGGAGGAGAGCCGCTGGTCGTCGGTCAGTGGGTGGGAAAGGACACGTGTCCAGCAGGACACCCCGGGACAGCTGGCCGCCACGGCGGGGAGGATGGCCACTGGAGGCAGAACAGAGCTGTGCGAGCCTGTCCAGGGTCCTGCAGACATGCTGTGACGGTGGTCACTGTGGACAGGGCTGGGCTGCCAGCCCCCGTCTGCATGGCCATGGTAGTGACCCGCAGTGGTTAGGGGCTGAGCGCTAGGGCACACTCTGCGTCTGACCCCACGGGATCGTCCTCCTGGCCCCCCACGTGGGGGGCACGCTGAGGCTCCTTATGCAGGCGGCAGGTGCCAGGAAGCTTGGCCACTGATGGGGTCAAAGGCTGTGTGAGTGGGAGGACCGAAGGAGCCCAAGGAGATGCCCGAAGGAGCAGAGATGCCCACCCGGGGCAGGGAAGCCACGGAGACGCAAGCTGCTTGAGGCCCGGAGGGCCTGTCCCGAGGGCCAGCAGCCCATCTCCACAGGGGCCGTCACACCCACGGGACGCCCTGCGAAGGCAGAGCTGGGGTCAGCGCTGCTGGCCTGGTCCCCTGAGGGTCCCCGTTGAACTGAGTGGCTTGGCTGTCATTAGCGGTGTGGAGGTCACGGCACCGCCACTTCTGGTCTTAGCGCAGGACTCAGCGGCTGGACCACAGTTGTCTGGGAGCCCGGGAGGCTCGGGCCGGGTCTGCAAGTCCGCTCTGCCTCTTCAGATGCGGGCAGAGGGGCCCCAGCAGGGCCTGGTGGGGGAGGCCTGGTCCTTAATGAAGCCCGATCAACCGTGAACCCTTGATGATCAGGGGACTTTGAGAGACGGTCCGAGCCGGGGGCCTGCCCCGAGCTGATGTACTCCCTTCTGCGTCCTCGACAGTGGGACGAGCTGTTTCAGGGGAGCCCCCGGCTCAGAGCCACAGGGGTGGGGCTTCTGGGAGGGGCGGGAGCGCCGGGCTGGCGGGAGGAAGCGGGGTGTGCAGACAGACAGACACACAGACATGGTCTGAGCACAGGTGTGAGAGCCTCCGGGGCAGCCGGCTCCAGGGAGAAGGGCGTTCCAGGCAAGAAGACCCTTGGGGGTTGAGGGCAGGGCCACTGGAAGGCGGGCGGGGGCAGGGACAGTGGACACAGCCGCCATCCGCGCTGCTCCCTGGGTCCTCTGGGCGCCGAGGACCACGGGGAAGAGGAAGCTGTTTTCACATCTAGTTCGTGAAGGAAGAAGAGGGGGCCTGGCGCCCCGAGCCCCTCCCTTCATCACTGAGCCTGGCTTCGCTCCGAAGAGCCCCAGCCTGCTGCTCAGATGCTGGCCTGGGAGAGGGAAACAGCGCAGAAACACGTGGCTCTGTAGGGTTTCCTGGGTGGCGGGACTGGGGGCTTCCCCGTGAGTGAGGGCACAGCTGACCAGCAGCCCTCGTGCCCCCCGCCCAGGGTACCAGATCGCCTACCGCCTGGCCAGCAGCAGCCCTAACACGTTCACCACCGTGGAGGTCGGCGCCACCGTGAGGCAGTTCACGGCCACTGAGCTGGCCCCGGAGTCCGCGTACGTCTTCCGGCTGTCGGCCAAGACCCGGCAGGGCTGGGGGGAGCCGCTGGAGGCCACCGTCATCACCACCGAGAAGAGAGGTAAGACCGGGAGGCCCAATTCCCTGCCGGGCCAGGGGAGGGGAGGTCACGCGTGCCTGGGGAGGGTGGCTGCCCGAACTGCTCGTTCTTTAAGCACCGCTGAGCCTACCTGGAGTTGGACGCACAGCGGGTCTCACAGCCCAGCACTCGCCCCAGGCTGGGCTCTCAGGCCTGATCCTCCCAGGTCCAAAGATAGAGAGCTCTTCTCTTCCCCAGCGATGCCAGAGCTTCCTGCAGGTTCCCCCACCGGGACTCGGTCAGGCCCGCACTTTCAGTGTGCGGGGAGCAGCAGGGCTGCGTTTCTCCCCCAGGCAGCTCAGAGCCGCAGGCCTTGTTTCTTGCTATCCTCCTTAGACTCTGTGCAGCCCCTCTGAAGGAGGGGGAAAGAGTTTTGCTCACGGTTTGATGTGACTTGAACCAAACCCGAGTGCAAGTACTGACATGAGCTCCCCCAAGGGGGCAGCCCTGTCCCCTGCCCACCACGTGCCCCCGCCTGCACCCTGCCCCACAGCTGGAACACCTGCCCCGCCAGGGCCTGCAGGGCCTCGGTCCACGTGGCTCAGGGAGAGGGGGCCCAGGAGAGCTTTGTCCCTTCCAGTGGGTCCGGGAGGGGCCTGAGAAGCAGGGGCAGGACCCAGGCTGCTGGGGGCGAGAAGAAACCGCCCGGCCGAAGGGTGCGCTTCAGCAAAGGTTGCTGATTAAGTTAGGTGCCAGGGCCCCTGGCAGCCCATCACCTGGGGCCGGCAATGAATTGCTGCTTCATTTCACGCCACACCTTCTAATCAGAATCGATACTCTTCCTGATAAACAGCGAAAGAATGATTCCTCCCTCTGGGGAGCTTCTCTGTTGAAATCAATGGGGCGAGGAGACAGAGCGACGGGCAGACGACCCCCACTCAGAAGCCAGGTCCCGGCCCCGCTGCCCGCATCCCAGTCTCCATCCCTGCGGGCACGGAGTGGCCAGTGACAGCCCCCAGGCACCCCTGCTCCACATGCCTTTACGGTTTCAGGCCCAGGTCGACTTCCAGGGAGAGATCAGTGTTAAAGATGTACTCGTCCCCAAATCAGAGAGCGGGAGCGAGTCCTCGGGCGCCCAGGTGTTGCTCACGGTGCCTTACGTGGCGGTGCCGTCGGGGAGCATGGGTGGGTTCACCTCCAGTCTGTCTGCCTGCTCTGAGGATGGAACATTCCAAGGGCAAGCAGGGGTCTCCAGTCAGATCCAAGCTGGGCCCCGGCCGAAGTCAGAGACCCTCACATCCCTGCGGAGCCAGGAACAGTCTGAAGGTCATCTAATCCATGCATCCGACTCTCGGGGCCGCCACAGTGCCTCCCCCTGCGTAATTTCACTGCGAGCCTCTCACACGTCCCTGATCTGTCCTCTTTGGGTTGCAGAGCGGCCGGCGCCCCCCAGGGAACTCCTGGTGCCCCAAGCAGAAGTGACCGCGCGCAGCCTGTGGCTCCAGTGGGTCCCGGGCAGCGATGGGGCCTCCCCCATCCGGTACTTCACGGTGCAGCTGCGCGAGCTGCCCCGGGGACAGTGGCAGACCTACTCCTCGTCCATCAGCCACGAGGCCACAGCCTGTGCCGTTGAAAGGTACCCAGAGGGCCAGGGGGACCCTCTCCCGGGGTACGGGGGCCCTGCCCTCCCCAGCCAGCTCCTGCCCACTGAGTAAGGAGTCTGTGCAGGACGCGGAGACGCGCCACTGAAAGCCCATGTCTCCTCTTCTAGTCAGTACTCCTGTGCCAGGACCCGGTAGTCCTTGCATCCCGCATCCGCTTCCAGACGCCCACCCGGGCCGCTTCCCCGCCAGTCCTTGCGAGCGGCCCGGCACAGATGGTCCGCCCGCCCCAGGCCCCAGGGACTGACGAGGCTCAGATGAACGGGCGGTGGGGCCCTGAGCCCGGGAGGGGGACTGAGGCTCCCCAGTGCCTGAGAGGCATGGAGTGGGGGGCGGCGGGGAGGGCAGCCCAGCCTGCCACTGTCACCGTGTCACAGGCCAGAGAGAGGCCCTTCTCTGTGCTGTCTCTGCGTCAGCGAGGTGGACAGATTCCGCCTGGGGGCCGCCCTTCCTTAGTGACAGTGACGGCTGATGGGGCAGGAGCAGAGCCCCGCCCCCGAGCCAGCTGTTTGGTGAACTGCTGGGCAGGAGGGAGGGGCTGCACCACCGGCCGCAGCTGGACCCGCTGTGTCGTGATCCCACCTGGGCCTCTTCTCTCGGCCGCCACCCTCCTTACGGTGAAGGAGACTAGGGCTGGGAAGGGTTACATCACCCGCCAGAATCCTACAGATGGAACAGTCTAGACGGGCAGGTCTACGAAGTGGCCTCGGGCCCTGCGTCCTCACGTCCGCTGGCGTGGAAGCCCCCCGCCTGGGAGGGTGATGGCAGCAGCCCGGGGAGACGCCTTGGCATCGTCACTGTACTTCCCACCCGGCCCTGGTGTTGTCACTTTCTGCCAGGCTCATGCTCCGGGGCTGGGGAGGGGCCACTAAGTGGTGGGCCCCACTGTCCCCCATGGGTGCTAGTACCCTTGCCAGGACCTTCTAGGAGGACGGAGGAGGCCAGGACCATGGTTTCCTAGGCAGGCCAAGGTCCTCTTATCGTTCAGAACGAGCCCCGTGCCGGGTACCGTGCCACACTGACGTCCACCTGCTCGTGGAATCCCCGCGACAGCTCCGGGCACTGCCGTCCCAGTTCCATGGGTGAGGAACAGGGTCAGAGGTCGGTTTGGTACCTTGCCTGCAGCCCTGCCCAGCCAGCAGGGAGCACGTGTGGGCCTCCCTGGGCACCCCACCCTCCCGTGGCAAGGCCGCTAGTCTGCTGCCCACTGAGCAGAGACCCTGAGCTGTGCGCCATCAGAGAGCCCCGGAGGCACAGCTCAGGGATGGGCTTGGAGCGCGACGCCGTCGCTCTCTCCTCCACGAGCCAGCAGCGGGGCTGAAGGAGAGGGGCCACACCCCCGGTCCAAGGAGCCGGCACCCACGGGGGCGAGGCTGCGCGCACGGCGGGTGCTGTCGGCTCCGGGCGGCTGTGCGGCCGGCCTGCACCCTGACGGGATGAGCGTAGCAGCCCGGGCGGCTCGCAGGGACCTTCCGGCAGCTCTGCTTTGGCGCACAGAATGGGCGCCCCCTTTGGAGGTGACTTCAGAGGCAGCCCCAGGCCAAGGAGGAAGGCAGCTCGCCACTTATAGCTGCGGCCTCCTGGGACCCCAAGTGATATTCCTGGTCTGAGTGACTCCCTCATCCCGTGATCCAGAAAGCTCTCAGCTCTGTCTGGAGATGAGGGATGGACGGTCCCCACGCACACGTTCTGCTTCCGGAAGAGCTGAGGTCCCTGCCTGCTACTTAGAGGCGACATTTGTTCAGGTCCGTCTGCTGCCGAGTAGGGCTTTAGAACACTAGTGACAGTCACGGCAGCTGTAGCCGCCCTCCTCGTGGTGGGGAGATGAGGCTGGAACGGCATCAGTGTGGACGCACACCTCCGAGACGCTCCCCACGGCGACCTGGTGGTGAAGCCTCCCGCGCCATCTTCCTGCTGTCATTGTCATCGCCACCGTCACCATCTCAGCATCACCCAGCCCTCCATCAGTTCCAGAACAATTCCCACGTGTTGTCCCACAGGTCGTCCACGTGGAGAGAGGGGCCTGTGGGGTACAGACCAGACTTTTTATTATTCCCGTCGTGCAGACGAGGACACGGGGCAGCAGACGCGTCTTAAGCAACGAAGGGGCCTCAGCTTCTCTGAACGGGGGAGGGGATCCCTTTGTGGTTTGGACATTCCCTGGGCCTGTAGCTCAAAGATTCACGGATGCAAACCAGCACCCAGCTAATTTACACGGGTCCAGATGTAGCGAACAGTGTTTATCATCTACACCCCAAGCTCTCAGCAGTCCGTCCACCCCTGAGTGGCCAGGGGGCCTTGGAGGAGTGAAACACGGGGCTGGAGGAACCATCCCGTGGTTCCTCTCAGCTCCGGGCCGAAGATTTGCCTCGGTGACTGACAGCAGTGAACGGACGGCCAAGTAACAAGGCCCCCAGAATAGTCAAAGCCTGTCCCCGTGGAGCCCACCAGCCTTACGACAGCGTGGGACCCGCAAGGCACAGCTCCCCCTGCAGAGGAAGGCACTCTGCTGCGGACACACCCCGCGGGCCAGGATTCTCCTGTGCAGCCCGGGGCTTGGGGGTCGGGCGAGCGCGGCCGGGATGCCCAGCTTACTTGGTAGAGCACAGTCCAGTGCGCTGGGCGCCCGGCCGTAAATAACCCCACCTCCTCGTGTAACCGTGTGAAAGAAAGAAGAGCGATAAAATCCAACTGCCTCGACTTCCGGGAAGATGGCAGAAGAGTAAGACGCGGAGATCACCTTCCTCTCCACAGATACACCAGAAATACATCTACGCGTGGAACAACTCCTACAGAACACCTACTGAACGCTGGCAGAAGACCTCAGACCTCCCAAAAGGCAAGGAACCCCCCACGTACCTGGTTAGGGCAAAAGAAAAAACTAAACAGAGACAAAAGGATAGGGACGGGTCCTGCACCAGCGGGAGAGAGCTGTGAAGGAGGAAAAGTGTCCACACACTAGGAAGCCCCTTCGCGGGTGGAGACTTCGGGAGGTGGAGTGGGGGAGCTTGGGAGCCGCGGAGGAGAGCACAGCAACAGGGGTGCGGAGGGCAAAGCGGACAGATTCCAGTGCAGAGGATCGGGCCGACCGGCACTCACCAGCCGAGGGGCTTGTCTGCTCGCCCGCCGGGGCGGGCGGGACTGGGAGCTGAGGCTCCGGCTTTTGTCGGAGCGCCGGGAGAGGACTGAGGTTGGCGGCGTGAACACAGCCTGCAGGGTGTTGGTGCGCCGCGGCTGGCCGGGAGAGAGTCCGGGGAGGGGTCTGGACCTGCCGAAGAGGCAAGAGACTTTTACGTCCCTCTTTGTTTCCTGGTGCACGAGGAGAGGGGATTAAGAACGCTGCTTGAGAGAGCTCCAGGGACGGGCGCGAGCCGCGGCTAAGAGTGCGGAGCCCAGAGACGGACATGGGATGCTAAGGCCGCTGCTGCCGCCGCCAGGAGGCCAGTGTGCGAACACAGGTCACTAGCCACACGCCCTTCTGGGGAGCCTGTGCAGCCCGCCACTGCCAGGGTCCCGGGATCCAGGGACGGCTCCCCGGGAGAGCGCACGGCGCGCCTCAGGCTGCAGTGTCACGCCAGCCTCTGCCGCTGCAGGCCCGCCCCGCACTCCGTGACCCTCCCTACCCCCCGGCCTGGGTGAGCCAGAGCCTCCGAATCAGCGGCTCCTTTAACCTCGTCCTGTCTGAGCAAAGAACAGACGCCCTCCGGCGACCTACACGCACAGGCGGGGCCAAATCCAAAGCTGAGCCCCTGGGAACTGTCAGAACAAAGAAGAGAAAGGGAGATCTCTCCCAGCAGCCTCAGAAGCAGCGGATTAAAGCTCCACAATCAACTTGATATACCCTGCATCTGTGGAATACCTGAATAGACAACGAATCATCCCAAATTAAGGAGCCCTGTGGATGAAAGGCTCTTGGTGCTGCAGCCAGGACTCAGTGCTGTGCCTCTGAGGTGGGAGAGCCAACTTCAGGACACTGGTCCACAAGAGGCCTCCCAGCTGCACATAATATCAAACAGCAAAAATCTCCGAGAGATCTCCATCTCAACGCCAGCACCCAGCTTCACTCAACGACCAGCAAGCTACAGTGCTGGACACCCTATGCCAAACAACTAGCAAGACAGGAACACAACCCCACCCATTAGCAGAGAGGCTGCCCAAAATCATAGTAAGTCTACAGACACCCCAAAACACACCACCAGACGTGGACCTGCCCACCAGAAAGACAAGATCCAGCCTCATACACCAGAACACAGGCACTAGTACCCTCCACCAGGAAGCCTACACAACCCACTGAACCAACCTTAGCCACTGGGGACAGACACAAAAAACAACAGGAACTACGAACCTTCAGCCTGCAAAAAAGGAGACCCCAAACACAGTAAGATAAGCAAAATGAAAAGACAGAAAAACACACAGCAGATGAAGGAGCAAGATAAAAACCCACCAGACCTAACAAATGAAGAGGAAATAGGCAGTCTACCTGAAAAAGAATTCAGAATAATGATAGTAAGGTTGATCCGAAATCTTGGAGATAGAATGGACAATAGAATGGACAAATTGCAAGAATCAGTTAACAAGGACCTAGAAGAACTAAAGATGAAGCAAGCAACGATGAACAACACAATAAATGAAATTAAAAGTACTCTAGATGGGATCAATAGCAGAATAACTGAGGCAGAAGAACGGATAAGTGACCTGGAAGATAAAATAGTGGAAATAACTACTGCAGAGCAGAATAAAGAAAAAAGAATGAAAAGAACTGAGGACAGTCTCAGAGACCTCTGGGACAACATTAAACGCACCAACATTCGAATTATAGGGGTTCCAGAAGAAGAAGAGAAAAAGAAAGGGACTGAGAAAATATTTGAAGAGATTATAGTTGAAAACTTCCCTAATATGGGAAAGGAAATAGTTAATCAAGTCCAGGAAGCACAGAGAGTCCCATACAGGATAAATCCAAGGAGAAATACGCCAA